TTTTTTGCATTGTTTTAATCTTGATGCATGAAATGTTTATATATTTAATGCATCAAACTCCTACTACAAATTTAATCATTTTATTATTACAAAATAAAATGCTTAGATATTTGTGCCAATATTATATAAATATTTTTTTATGCTTTAATATTTGTTGTCATTTGTTATGTAACTTTGTTATATGCAGGCATTCTAACATTACCACCAATTAAAATTGATAGTATAAGTATAACGTAGTTAGTAGACTGGAACTGAGCGTTCTTAAATTAAAACGAGTCATTCCAAACTACTAAAATAAATGTGATTTAGTAGCCTATAACGGACCGTTCCCAAACTGGAACGGGCCGTTCTAGACTACTAAATAAGCCTGTAAATCCTAGTTGAGAACGGACCATTCCAACTCCGGAACAGGTTGTTCTGCATGTAAGTTTTACACATAATAAAGAAAAGTAGAGGGCCGTTCCAGATCCAAAACAGGCCATTCTAGCCACTCTAGACTTCTATAAATAGGCCTCATGCATGTAGTTGAGGAGAAAAAAATGGGAACTTAGAGAGAAGTTTAGAGAGAAGGACTCTAGACTAGGAAGCTTGCTTTTGGAAGATTGAAGTTCCTGGGTTGAGCTTTGGGAGGAAATTCCGCTTCTTCTCAGTTGGGGACATATGGTGAAGATATATGTCCTATGTTGAGATACATAGTACTAAGGTGATAAGTTGAAAGTTATTTTAAAGTTGAATCCCTTAGTACTGTGTGGGCGATGTGGAAGTAGTCGATCCATGTCATGGTTGAATGACCAAATTGAGTAACGTATCTAGTTAGAGATGTAGTACTAGTCTTTGACTAGGTACTAGAGGATGCGTGGTACTTGGAGGGCAGTGGGTGGACTAACCCCATATGTGGATTGGTTATGCAGACCAAGGCCATGGTAAGTTCATACCCAAACCCTTTTGCCCTAATAGTAGTATTGGACCTTCGAGTCTAAGTGGCACACCTGAGCAATCGTCTATTGTTGTTTATACCTGGTTCTCTTCAGAGTTCCTAACGATGCCTTATACTTGACCTGGTTGAGATAGGTCAAACGTTGGATTTAGTAGAGTTTATGCCACCTAGACTGCTCAACCTCAATTGTTGGAGATCTCCTAGTTGTATATGCGTGACGACGCATTAGTTGATGTTGCATATGTTGTTGCATTCAAGTTGCATAAAATGTTGTATGAATGAGCTGATAGTTGAACTATTGTGATAAAAATTGTGTGGTTGTGCTGTGATGATGAGTTGTTGATCACTAGGACTAGAGGAGAAGTTTTTGAAGTTGCTCATCCTATTGTGCGGATTGAGATAGTTGTGGTGCTCTAAGAGCCTAATTTGTTTAAAAACCCTCCTTGAAAAGTTGTCCCTTGGAGTGGATGATGTGTTGTTCTCCTCTAGGACTTGGTTGGTCCCGTGTGTGGACAAGGTCGAGGCACACGTGTATGAAGCGACCAAGGTATAGGGGTCAGGCCGAGCTATACCAATTATAAGCGGCCAATTTGAGTAAAGTATGATGTGTTGAAAGTGTTGTTGATGTTGTATATCTATTGTTGTATGTGTTGTGTTGCTTTAAGTTGCAAGTTGAAAGTAGAATTCTATTGTTGGTTATTATATGTTGATGTTATTTTTTTATGATTATTGTTATGAGCTTACCCTAGCATGTTTTTCCTTGTGGTTGGGACTGCGATGACCATATCTTAGTATGCGAGCAGATCAGGATTAGGTGCTCTGCTGGACTGGGTGAGCTTCTTTTTGGTTGGGGCTGACGTTATATTTAGTTATTTGGTAGCATTTGACTACCTAGTTGTTGTTTAGGGTATTATTCCCTACTTTCAGTTATATATTATGTGACTTTTTAGTTGTGTATTCTCATTATATATATAATTGTGTAGTGGTGATATTTTATTTTATACTTGTATCTAGACGCTATAAACAGTGTGAGACCTGGCGGGTCGTTACATTTTTATGGTTATATATATAATTGTGTAGTGGTGATATTTTATTTTATACTTGTATCTAGACGCTATAAACAGTGTGAGACCTGGCGGGTCGTTACACTTTTATGGTATCAGAGCAGGTCGAGCCTAGTGGACACTCTGTAGGGATGATCTCATTAGGCTTCCATTGTGTAGTTCTTTGTGTTGTGTTGATAGGTTGTTAAGTTGTGTCGAGCCTAATGGAAGCTAGGATGTTTTGTTGTTTGGTTGTATGTGAGTTTAGAAACTCAATTGGTGCATGAATGTTGAGAATCCATAGTTGGATTGGAGAAATTATTCATTTTTGAGTTGTAGGGAGCCTGTGCAGTGGTTTTCTTTATTTGCATGTGGATAGTTTTCCTGATTTTCAAGTTTGGAGCACGCAGTGCGCAAGGTGGGTGCTCTGGGCATGGAAACTCTTATGAGTTTCTGTTCCAAGGATGCCGGGCGCGAGTTGAACGTGCCAGGTGTGAATGAGTTTTAGGACTTTCGGGTTGGGATTAGGCCAGGCGCGCTCATGCTATAGATAGTGAGAGACCTGGCGGGTCGTTACAGTAAGATTGAAAAAAAAAATAAAAAATGTTGGTTGTTAAAATGCTATAAATTTAAGAAAGAAATGCTTTTGATACGGATTGCTACCTCAGACAATCTTTAGCTACGATGTGTGACAAAAACATCATGTGAAATAATAAGTGAATTAAATATAATTGCCTATCTTTTCCAGCATTGTATACAATAAAATTAAAATGATGTAAAAAGTCTCTACCACTATAAGAAGTGTGGATATAAATTTTTACTTGAAAATTGCCTCATCTTTACCAAGAAATGTAATAAATTATGTAACATCAAGTCTTTTATATATCTTTATATATATATATATATATATATATATATATATATATATTTTAAATCACA